ACCTAATTTTGCCGACTATACTTAAGCACCTCCCCAAAAATGGAATTTGGTATGGCCAGAGGAATTCCCAGAAATAGGTAGTTTCCAATCCATCGTTGAAACCAGCGAATCTTCGCTAGAACCACTGGGTAATTCATAATATCACTACCAAAAAACTGTTAGCCACGCCTAAAACCACTGAAAACTCGACGACTCACCCAAATCTACCCATTAGGCTCACTGTGCACATCTGACCCATCAACTCAAAAATTACAAAAATGCCACTGCACACATTTATATATATTATTTTTCCTTCATTTTTTAGCAGACGTAGACCAGATTTTTCACAACTTTAGCTTCCCTTTCACGTACTAGACCTTCTTTCTTCCTTTGAAAAATACTTCATCCTCACCCACTCACTTTACACTGAAATTACCTAGAAATCACCATTTTCTTCATATTTGTTGCACTTCCAACATTGTTGAACAATTTTCAGACATGCAAAACATCATGGCTGGGAGATAGCATACTGCAAATTCATTTTCTGTGTTATCTTCATGAGCATCAAATGTTTAAGTTGAAGAGTTAGCATCAAAAACAGGATCAAGCCCTCCACTCAGAGGACCCCAAGACAATCGTCCTTCATTCTCCCATCACTACTTTCAAGTTTATTCTTTTGTTCTTGAGAAAGCTTCAAAGGAGGAAGTGTTGTACTCCAAGTTTACACCATGAGAGTTGCTCATTATAGAGTGGGAGTATTTATTAGAGATAATAGAGGGCACATTCATTGTCATTATTATTATGATATAATACTCTATGTATAAATATGCTCCTCAAGTTGTAATATTTGATCATCATGTATTTTTCATCCTTGAGCTCCTACCACAATGTATATTTCCTTTTTATATTTTTTAGTAGTTGTGTAATCATTCCCAATTCTAGTATCTAGCTCTTCTGACTTTACTGAAGAAGGTGCTCTTAGACTCTGTTGGAGGCATCGATTTAGCTGGAGTTGCTCTATTCCCAAGCTTCGCCAAGGAAGCTCTATTTCCAAACTTTGTTGAAGAAGCATTATTTCTGGACTTCACTGGAGAGACTATTTTTGGACTTCGCTAGAGAAACTTTACTTCTAGACTTTGTTGGGGAATTTGTTGTTGACCAACATCACTAGACATCTTGGAACTCTATCGTCGTTGCTAGCTCTCTTTCTCAGCTTGGCTAGAAAACTTACACCTTCAAACTTTGCTAAGGAATTTGCTGCTGACCAGCCTCGTTGGGCGGAACGAGACGACCCATGGCACGTAGCTTCTTGCACGTGAAACAAGTGCCGCCAAAAGGACCCTTCTCATCATTCACGGGTGGCATCCTAGTTAGCCTCCACATCATTACCACTACTGACTCATCAACCTACATCACCATCACACGCCCAAACAAATGCTTGATCCCGTCTTTGATGTTAACCCTATAGCTTGATCTTTTGTTGCTCAAGAAAAATTACCCAACAGCTGAAACTACATAATGCTATCTTGTAGTCATGGGGAGTTGCAATGGTGGAAATTATCATGCAATGCTGGAGGTGTAGGAAAAAATAAAGTAACAGTTTTTGGAGGTTTTGACGTGTGAAATGAGGGGTTGAAGATGGAAAATTCTTTTGCGGGAAACTTGAGGTTTGCTTGTCCTTTTTTTTTTTTTGTTTGGAAAATGGGGAGAAAAAATCGTGAAGGGTCCCCTTGTTGTCTTTTTTTTTTCTTGGAACATGAGGAGAAAAAAATAATATATACATGTGCAGTGGTATATTTGTAATTTTCAAGTTGTGCAGTGGCTAATAGGTGGGTTTGGATGAGCTATCAAGCTTCTAGTAGCTCTGGACGCTGTTGATAGTTCTTTGGTAATGGCATCATGAATTGCCTAGTGGTTCTAGCGAAGCTTCGTTGGTTCCAGCGAAGAACTGGAAATTAAATATTTCTGGTATTTTCTCCAACCATACGAAATCCCATTTTTGGGGGGGGGGGGTGCTTGAGTGCAGCTGGCAAAAACAACACCTGCACAAGATTTTGGTGGAGTCCTTAGGGT